TTCTTGTCTTATACTTTCTTTTCTTCCATGTGAGTCCAACATCTTCATCATGTTTTTATTTGTTTTAGTTTTAATGAATTGCGGATGAGACCTTTTCTTTTCCTTATATTAAGCTAACATAGCGTATGAAGACAAAGAGTGTCAGCTTAATTATCAAGGAGTTGTATTGAGATATAATTGATAATAGTGTCTATCCAAATATTTTATTATGACTTGTTGAGTATACTCAAGGTTTTGATATAACAAATGAGATCTTAGCCATTGGAAGTAAAATACAGATTCCATTAATTTATGTACGAGATTCATAAATTTATTTTAAATAGTGGGAGTATAATTATTTTAATGAAAGATCATGTTAAATTAACTATTTTATTTATCGATACATTAATTCTTTATTTTCGTCATTTACAATTTTGAATCATAAGTAACCATAAGAATTTGAAAGTCATACTAGATGCTACAAATTGACCAGGTCAAATTTTCTTGATCGACACTATAATCTGAAAATTGTTCTCATGCATGAGAAAATTGGCTATGCCCTTGAATAGCCATTTTCAAATGACTCAATTGGGCAAGAGGTGACAGTTTATAATAAACACTTCAATGGCAATAATACTGCAACATGTGTGATACTTGTAGTTTTTACAACATAAATATTATTTCTTTTCATATCGTTTTGATACAAGATAGCACAACGACATTCATATCGTTTCGATACAAATTTGACAAGTTTGAACTTGTTTAAGTTAAAATCATAACTAAAACAACATAAATATCATTTCTTTTCATACAGAACGACAATGATATCGTTCTAATTCAAATCATAACTATAACAACATTAATATCATTATGTATCACACATATGGAACAAGATAACGATATCCATGTTGTTTCAATATAAATTTTACGAGATTGAGATTGAGATCGTTCCAGTTCAAATCATAACTAAAATGATATTGAAGTCGTTTTTTATAGTAGGTAATGACATTTATATCATTATGAATCAAACTCACGAAATTACATACGACATCTATATCGTTTCAGTACAAAATTTTCAAGATTGAGATCGTTCCAATTCACATCACAACTACAACTACAACGACATTGAAGTAATCTCTTTTTATATAAAACAACAATTATATCGTTTTGACTAAAAACGACGATTCAACCGTCCACGACCGTCGATCATCTCTCCAACATACGTAAGACGATCAATAGAGGTTATCAAGTAGATTCAATCTTACTAAAAAAAACTATAGAAACATTTTTATTCTCATAGTTGTCTAGCACCATCAAACTATTCTGACAGAAAGAAAGTATATCTATTTGCTCTTTTAAAGTCGTTCGAACGGTTTCAATCTACTTGATGAGCCCCTTCAATCGTCCTACGTATGTCGGAGGCATGCCGG